AAATGCACTTTTTAACTTGGATTAACAGTTGAATCAGTAGACTTTGATCAAAGCTGATTCCCCCACCTCACTGTGGGCAAGTTGAAGCTTTCAGAGAAAAGACTGGCATCCCCTGAAGCAGGATTCAGCCAATAGACTGCCTTTGGCCTGAGCACCACATCTGTGGCACGACCTGCAGGATTTGAACTTTCCTGGCCCCACATAATCACATGAGCCAGGTTCTCACAATATATGTATTTACCCATCTATCTGTCCATATATTATCTACAACACACACACACACACACACACACACACACACACACACACACACACGCACACACACTATGGGTTCTGTGTCATTGGAGAGCCTGACTTCCAGCATTGTCACTTAGAAAGGAATGAAATGGAAGTCTTTAAAGCCTGATATAAATGTGGGATATTGTAATCAGGCTGGAGCTGTCTAAGTCAGACTAGAAATATTTGAACACTACCAGCACGCCATATTCAAAGAGGAATCTAATAGTGCAAGTGAATTTTTATAAGACTTTTTTTAGAAAATCAAAACTGGTCAAAACAGTATTCAGAATGTAAAGACTTAGAGTTGTCTTGATATTAAGCGGACTTTGAAGACAGTTCAGTTCTAACCTGCTTTTGGATAGTAGACAGAAATTCCTTTCCTGTTCAACCCATGATTACAGAACCACAAAAAACAGAAATGAAACACAATGGGAAAGAAATACATGAAAAATTATATTCTCATCTCATTGTAAGCATATTTCATTATAGTTCCCAGTAGGAATGTGTGAGCAGTAAGTCTTGAGTCAACAGTTTCTTAATTCCTTGTTTAATCCTCTTAAAATCAAACCTACTGTGACTAGAAAGAGTAATTCACATAACAAATACTTTTTTGTAAGATTACAAAACGAGCTGAACACAATGGCACATGTCTGTAATCGCAGCTACACAGGAGGCCAAGGCAGGATTGCACGTGTGAAGGCAGCCTGGGCAACTCTGAAAAACGGTGCCTCAAAATAATAGATAAATAAATAGATAGAAGAGACTGGGGATGCTGCTGGGTGATAGAGTGCTCCTGGGTTTGATCCCCAGTCCCCAAAGCAAAACAAAACAAAACACCAACACATTATGGGACGAGCTTCAAGTGAGACTGAAAGAGAATGAGTCTCGTCTGATGGGGAAATAGCCCGAGGACAGGAAGCATTTCTTTTTGCTCTGCCAAGGGAACTAAACATACACATATCTTGGGAATACAGCTGTGGAATGTAAATTGTAGAGAAGTCAAAACTTGGCCTGTCCCCTCTTAGGGTCCCAGCTAGACCCGAGGATCAACTTGACGTGACAGACTAATGTGAGAAAGGCATACCAGTTTGATGTAGGTTTTATGGCCTGAAAACTCCCATGAGGAAATGAAGACCCAAAGGAGTAGCAAAACCTACATGCTTTTGTATTAGATGGAACAGAGAGAGGTGCCCGTGGAAGAGCCAAGTATGTGAGGAGGCTAAAAGAGGATAATTATTTTGACAAGGTCTGTTTGCACAGAGTTCTCTTGGCTCTCCATTTATCTCTCTCCTGCTGGTATAATAAGGCATTTTCCACCTGGAATTCGAATCTCTTGTTTTCAAGAAGAAAAGTGGAGCTTAGAATGACATTCTTGCATCTGATGTTTACAAGTCTGTCTAGCATGAAGTAATCTTTACATCAGAGTAGCATATTTTAGGGTAGTATAACATGCTGTCCTTCAAAATAAAACGGTAGACCATGTACAGGTAGGTACAAATTCCAATGAATGTGATCATAATGTATACCTAAAATGAACCAATAAACTTAATGAATAAAAAGCCAAAGCAAAACAAAAACAAAATGGTAGAAAACAAAGCACAGCAGTACTATCACAAGAGTCTGAACCGGGCATGGTGGTGCATGCCTGTAATTAATCCCAGCTCTCAGGAGGCTGAGGCAGGAGGACCACTGTGAATTCAAGACCAGCCTGGGCTACATAGTGAGTTCCATAGTCAGTCTCAACTACACAGTGAGACCCTGTCTCAAAACAACAACAACAAAAACAAAAAAACAACCCCCCCAAAGAGTCTGACCAGCATGTTTACCTCAGGAAAGAACAACATCCCCCAAACAACAATAGCAACAATACCCAAGCAAGATAGCCTTTTAAAAACACAAGTCACATGAGAAAATATGCACAATGAAACATTAAGAAAATGATTTTTAGAAAAATCATGTGTCTCTTAGAGATGGGCATTGTATTATAGGAATATCCTTTTTCTAAATTGCATATAGTGACCATGTTGTTGGCTGGCATTATTTTACAATATCTACTGTGACAATGAGAGATCAAAAAAAAAGTAGATCCTGTTCACACTGGAGAGAGAAGGAGTACATGAAATCCCATCACCAGGGGAAATGGCCCATCCTGTACAGTGTGCTGAGTGGGGCTACACTGCAATAGTCACTAAGGTAAGTGTATTAATGCATTTTTAACTTGCAGAATGTTCGATTCATGAAAGGCTTATTGCATGTAACCTCACTGTAAGTTCAGGAGCGCCTGTAGAGTCAATAAGAGATTAGTATGATTCACATGTACACAACAGTAAATAAAGTTTTACCCTCAACAATATTTATAGGGAATTTTTGTCCACTCCCTTTCTTGGGACCCTCTTCTGAACCCCGCTTCTGGGCCCAAAGCCCACTCTGTGGGTCTGAGAGTGGTAGGCAGAGCAGTTCTCAGACCCATGTGTGCTGTTCTGTCATGAGGGAACAGTGGGGCCGTGGGTGGGGTCTGGGATGCAAGGGCACCATGAGAAGGCATCTCAGGGTACACTGGTTGGGTCCTGAATCTTCTATGCTGAATACTTCCTGAGGGTCGTGGATTCATCGTCTGCAGGATGAATTTTCCTTCTTTGCAAAAGTGAACCCAACTTAGTGTCTTGCCTTGCAGGCTTGATGAGCTAGTTTGTGCTTGGCTTATTCGCACTGGCTACTTTTTCCTTTAGCAGCAGCTTTGACCTTCCACCTCAATTCCCCGTCCTCCCCTTTCAGGTCCAGGTTATAATCTCCCCTGCCTTCTCTGAGGTTGTTGTGGGGGTGGTTGGAGGAGACAGGGAGGAGGGGAATTTCTTTGTGCCTACATTTTTTGGGAATGAGGAGATCACTGTTTCCAGCAGGAGCAGCTTGTGACTGGCTAAGCCTGATGTTCTGTTCCACACCAAGTTACCCTCAGTGGGTTGCGTCCTGTGCCGGTGAGAATGGAGACCAATATAAGCAATGATGGGCGGACTTCTTGGTAGAGATACCTGCACGCATCAGGATTTTCTCTTTCAGCTTTTTGTTTTGGTATAGCAAGTGCTATAAGCCAATCTTATATAAGTGGGGCTCTTGTCCTCCACAAATGGAGCTCTGTCCTGATTCCTAGATCTCTATCATCCAGCAAGGCCTACAATATGTAGAGGCAGAAAGTAGTACTGATGAAGGGGGCACCTTGTTTGAGGGTCCACCCACTGAATCTCTGTCCTTGACAGATGCCATAATGCCTGGTGTAGTACAAGGTAGACAACATGCCTGTAAGAAATGTTTGCAGCTGTAAGCAACCCCCCAAAATGGGGAAAATACAGCAAATAGGGAAGAGATTGGAGCACTTACTATAGCACATAATCATACTGGTATGATGTAAGTGCTCGAGGGCGTCGAAATCCCTCCTGATAGAGCAGCTGTGTAATGGAGCCACGAATCTGAAGTTATCATGTGTGCCGGTGAACCCCCTTAGTGATCCCTTGGCATCGTAGTCTGGAGACTCAGCAGCAAGACTATGGAATCTCAGTGAAAAAAGCTTTAGTGAAAATAGCATTAGTACTTAGACACTGTGTATGAGGAGAAGAAGATGTTCCAAGCAATAC